GTTCCTGGTCAAGGGTGTGTACCTGGGTGGCAGGTGCCAGCCCCATCCCAGTCAAGACTTGTACAGGACACAAGCAATCAATGTCTCTCTCTCTCTCTCTCCCTCTCTCTCTCTCTCCCTCTCTCCCTCTCTCCCTCTGTCTCCTCTTCCTTCCCTCCCTTTCACTCTCTCTAAAAATCAATGAAAAAAAATATCCTCAGGTGTGGATTAACAACTATGCCTATATAGATAATATACATTCAAATAGTAAGTGGAAATAACCTCATTACTACATTCTCTTACTAGAGTGTGATGTGAATCATGGACTGAAGAAGGATTGTTGTGAGGAAGAAGGGCGGTTTTCATCCTGTTTCCATCTGCGGGGTTTGAACTGTTTGACAGAGTTGAAACTTGGCTCTTTTATTTGACGAAAATAATCAGTTATTTTAAAGTTGCAAATCTTAAAATATCTGGTCCATGAACAATTTCCCTGATGCTAAGTAGATAGAGCAACTGAATTTTTATTTTCTCATAACCTATTCTGAAAGCACATAAAACCAATTAAAGTCCCGTCCAATGGAAGCTCTGTGATAACTAGTCTCCAATTTGAATTTGAGCAGAAGCTTATTAGCCAAACTAGTTCTCAAATAGGGCTAGACTTTACGCTTCCCATTTTCTCGGTGGCAGCCTCCGAATATGTTGTTCTCTCAAATGAAAGGAGCCTCAACCCAGCCAGTGTGTCTCAGCTGGTTGGACATCATACCATGCACCAAGAGGACCAGTTCATTCAGGGTCAGGGCACATGGCCTGGTAATGGGCTCATTCCCCAGTAGGGGGCGTGCAGGAGGCAGCAGATAGATGTTTCTCTCTCATCGTAGATGCCAAGAATGTGCGGAATTCTTGGACTTGGTGGTGTGGTCTGTTGTGAGTTTACAAAAAAATCAGTGCTGTCCTACAGACAGGAACGTACACTGTGTGGACACACTGGGTGGTGTCCATAGACCCCTAGGACTGCAGTCGGGTAAGAGCAATGAGAGGAAAAAAGTCACAGGGACATGCAGTCAGAGCTATTCCCATGTGAATCTCCTGGTTGAGAAAGAACCTCACCCATTTTAAATAAGTGATTAATTTAAAAATTAGAATCTTGGAGCCAATTTTTAACTTTCCTAGGAAAGTTGGACAAGAACAAATAAGGGAATTGAAATCATTCATGGGATTTGAGGGCATTAGCAAAACTCTTTGAAATTTGATATCTACTGAGTGACCTCAGTCAACTAGCTTCCCGGTACTATCACTTAAATTCAGAGCCACCCTTGGTAAGGGCTCATGTTGCAGATTTAATCCCCAAACAGCAGCCCTGGAAGATCTGCACTAACACACACCGGGCAGCCCACCATGCTGTTACTAGTCAAGGTCATCCTCACCCTGTGGGTCTCCTGGGCTCATGGACAAGGTGAGTTGAAACTGACCTGAATATTTAGCTTTCTTCTTAGGTAGGACTTTTCCCCTTTTCATTTGTCTTTGATTTTTTTTAATCCTCACTGGAGCGTATTTTTTCCATTGATCTTTAGAGAGTGCGTGGAAGGGAAGGAGAAGGGGAAACATCGATGTGAGAGAGACATATGGACTGGTTGCCTCCTACACAAGCCCCAACTTGGGCATGGGATCCAACCTACAAAAAAATTATGTGCCCTTGACCGGGAACTGAAACAGGGACCCTTGTTCTCTGGGCCAGTGTTCCTACCACTGAGCCAACTGGCCAGGGCTGTCTGTAATATTTGAATGAATTGACTTGAAAACAAAATAATCTTTGGGAACTATCAGGAATTCTACTGAGGAAGGGGGAGAAGTTTAGGTGGAGATGATTGGGCCATGATGGCTGAAGCGATGCAGAACAGAGGACAGGTCTGGGATGCATTTTGGTGGTAGCAAACACAGGTAACATTACTGAATGTTGGGTGTCAGAGTAATCGTCAAGGGACTCACATGTTTATTTTAAACTAGAGGCCCGGTACGCGAATTCGTGCATGGGTGAGGCCCAGTCTCTCCGCCTCCATCTCGGCCAATCAGGCCAGCCAGGGGGAGGGGCCATGGGAGGTTGGCCAACGGTCCTACCCCTTGGTTGAACTCTTGGTAGAGGGCACAATTTGCATATTAGCCTTTTCTTATATAGGGGTTTTTTTGCATAAGGAAGCAGGTAAATGGAGGTGACTTTTGGTAAGGTGGTATGGGCAGTAGAAAGAGGTCTTTGAGAGGAACATCTCAACTTTGACTTGGGCACGGGCGGGTTCAGCTGCCCATGGACAATCAAAATTGGATTCTAAACTATAGAGTTGAACGTTGAGGGCTAGCCAGCTCAACATGTGAGATTATCACCATGTAAGTGACGTCTCATGGGGAAAGAATACAGAATGAGAAAAGAACTCAAGACTGAGCCCTGAAGCATTTCAACCGACATGCAGATGTCAGGACAGAAGAGGAATGGGTAGCAAAGTAGAGAGAATAAAAGGAGGCCTACTGTGTTCAAAGGAACAAACGAGGGAGGGATCGAGGGCTCTTTTAAACATAGGAAGACATCTATGCACAGAAAACCATTCAGGACCGTGCAACAGGGAGAGCAAAGAACTTGACCTCTTTAAACAATATTCGAAGATCATGCGGCCTGGGGTCTGGATTGACAGCGGGAAAGAGAGAGAAGATGACGTTGGAAGTACAGGCATGAGAAAGCTGGGATTTCCTTCTACCTAAAAGGGGAGGGTTTTCGATGATCACCACGTATTTCTTTTGTGGGATTAGAGGCAGCCACGGGTTGTATGAAGCCAGAGGTTTCACACCTTTGAGGGGCCTTTGAAAAAGAATGCAAAATCAGGAATATGAAACTCTCATGGCCTTGCCAAGCCACCCACCAGACATTGACAGGGAAACAGGAAGGAAAGAGTGTGGTCGTGACAGAGACAATAGAACCCCATGTGGCCAATATGGCTTTCTATTAAAAATTTTATAGTAACAAATCACCTTAGGAACACATTCGTAGGAGTTGCTTTAATTTGTTAACTAAGCCAATTTTAATCTTCCTCTACTGAAATATATGAGAAACGCCTCTCTTTGAGTGTCCTGGTTCCCCAAGTATATTAAATTAAAATACCAATTTTTATTTAAGCATGGCAATTTAAAATTGTAGCGTTAATTTTTTTAATGTGAGAGAATTGTATTGTTTTGATAATACCAAAAATGTAGCCTTTAGTTTTACTAATCTATATAATAAAAGCCTAAGCGACCATTACGGCAGAATGACCAGAAGGACCAGTCTCTATGATGTGCACTGACCTCCAGGGGTCAGACGCTCAACTCAGGAGCTGCCCCCTGGTGGTCAGTGTGCCCCCGCAGGGGGGGTGCAGCTCAGCCAGAAGCTGGGCTCATAGTGGCAGTGCTAAGGAGCAGCGAGCTGGGCAGTAAGGAGCAAGGGGTCCTGGACTGCAAGAGGGTGCAGGCCGGGCTGAGGGACCCCGCCCCCTCCCCCCAGTGCACTAATTTCGTGCACCAGGCCTCTAGTGTCAATAATAAAATCAGATCCACTATAAGAGAGTTGATATTACAAATAAGTTTTCAGGACACATCTATTGCTATAAGAGAATCCCATATGAATATGAGGGAGTTTCAGACATAATAGATAATGCACTTCCAGGGAGAACATTTATTTGATGCCTCTCCGAATATGCAATACCCAGCCACTTATTTTTGCATGACATATAAAGTTTACTTGCCACTGGTTAATCATATGTTCTCATTAAATTATTTACCCTTTTTATAGAAAGAGAATGCATGGTTCCCGATATAGAGCAGAGCTTACTTGCTCAGCCCCGGAAAGAGAAATATGTCATTGGAGACGTGTTGACATTCTCCTGTAGAAACAGACACCTCACTCTCATCGGAGCAGACTCTCTTCAGTGCTACCACTTTGGATGGTCCCGTAGTCCTCCGACATGTAAAGGTGATTAATTCTCTGACACCTGCTCAAAACAGAATTAGAATGTTGGATTTCAGCTGTTCTTTTCCTCTTAATTTTCTGTTGGCTCCCAGTGTGTCTATAACCCAGTGCATTAAGCTAGAGAAAAACTTTGGAGGAATGCGTGTTGGGTAGTAGATACCTCAGATTTCCTTATTTAAGAAATTAATCTTCAATTTTTTATTGAACCACGTATTGAAAGTCTCCATAGATGGACGTATTGTGTCTGGTGCTGAAGTTACCTCTTTTGTCATATTTTTCGCATAACTTCCACCATTGATATTGGACATTTCTATCAGCATGAGTCTCACCTCAAGTTTCCCGGAGTGTGTCTAAACAATATTTAAGCATCTTACAGTTAATTCAAGCCCATATACAATATAAGGGAGCATTAAAACTTGTTGATCAAATGCTTGCCTCCAATGATGGTATTTTTGAAAAGGTTTGATGGAATGTTTCCATGGAATGTGAATATGGCTATAAGTTGCACAGTCATATTTGTTCGTTGGTTTGCATATGGTTTAGATCACTAGAGCAGTGGTGGGGGACCTTTCTTCCACCAAGGGCCATTTGGATATTTGTAACATCAATCGCAGACCATACAAAATTATCAACTTAAAAGTTTTCCTGCCGTAATTGGTCAAACATTTGATTAACTCACCCCTAATGCCTTGGCAGGGCCAGTCCAAATGATTTCCAAGGCCTTTTATGGCCCTCGGGCCAGACGTTCCCCACCCCTGATCTAGAATATTGAACGTTTCCTGGGCTTACATATATGTCCAATGTGCTAGTTCTGTATCATAACAGAGCTGGGAGACATGAATCTGGTGTAAACACCATTCTTTATCCTTCCTCAAAAGAACGCTATAATAAGTTAGATAATAAGTAATAGATTAAAGAAAAAAATCACTTCATTTTACTGGATTTTCAGTTGTACAAGAGACACTTTAACCTTTAGTTATATAGTATTTCTAC